AAAAAAACTATAACTATAAATATGATATTTACTAGTTACATTTTTATTTTATTTTTTCACAAAGTATTAAATGTGATTTATGTTGTAACTGGTTTATAAAGGATGGACGCTAATAACGTGAACCAAAACAATACATAGAATCTAGCTTCTATGCCTAAATTATTATTATTATTATTATTATTATTATTATTATTATTATTATTATTATTATTATTATTATTATTATTATTATTATTATTATTATTATTATTATTATCTCCATCCTCCTAAAGACTCGTGAATTCTCCTCTCTCTCTCTCTCTCTCTAGAAAAAACATAATTCATTCATCTCGTCCACCTTGAAGCAAAATCTGCCATCTTAATGGCGTCTGTAAGTTTTGTTTATACAATTTATTATTTAAAATTATTTTTGCTTTCTTAATTTTTCATATAATCGGTTGAGTTGTTTTCAGCAATTTAATGCAGACATTAATCTTTTTTGCTGAATGCTTAATTTTTTTTGCCAATATTTGGGTTTATTTTCGAAACAATAATTGTACGTGTTGGGTGCTTCGTGTTAGAATTGTAATTACGAGGATAAAATAAAATAATTTGTCCATTTTCTATATGTTACTCACAAATCCTCATTTGTAAAGTTGTGTTTGGATATCTGCAAATTGATGTTGATGACTTGTATTACATGATAGAAATAAAAATAGGTTACATTTCCTCTTGAATTTGTTGGATTTTTTTACTTTCCTTTATGTTTAGGTATAATATGTGAATCTGTTCACTAATGTTTCATCTCCATATTACTGAATATCTAAAAATATAATCTTCTCATGTGGATTTTATGGCAATGTAAAGTGTCTTTACATAGGCAAGACTCTATGTTAAGGTTAGTTTGCAGCTTTTCTTGGTGGTATGCAATGAATTGAATGCTGAAAATCTTATGCAATGTGCTCGATTTCACTTTCTTTCTTTTATCTGTGATATAAATTATATAGCATGAAAAAGGCAGGCCACTACCCAAATTCGGGGAGTGGGATGTGAATAATCCAGCCTCGGCCGATGGATTTACTGTGATTTTTGCAAAGGCAAGAGACGAAAAGAAGTCTAAGGGCACTGCTGCAAGTACAGCCCCACCACCGAGTATTGATACGACTCAAACACAACAATATTTCGAGGACCAAAACAAGGTTTTTATGTTCTCTTTTCTGTACTTTTGCTCTTCTTTTATTTTTTCTTGTGAAGTGATTACGTTAGTTTGTTGATATATGCAGAAAAAATGGCTTTGCTGTTTCTAAAGCTGATGCCGATGTGGGATTTTAATGCATAAAATTGGGAAGCGCGCGTATAGAGAGAGTTCGACTTGGGCAAGATCCGGATGACGATCGACTAGCAAATCTTTATGATTTTCTTCTATCGATCTCTGCTGTTGTAAAGGCTTTATATGTGATGTGACTATCAAAGTTTGTGAGGTTTCTAATATGTTCTAATTTTCTTCTTCTTCTTCTCCTCCTCCTCCCCAAGCTTGTGTTTTCTTTTGAGTTGTGTATAGTTATGGGTTACCTACCCAAAAAACAGGCTACCTAACTTGAGGCCATCTAATCTACTACTCCCAACCATAGCACACTTTTGCTAATAAGAGTATTTATTTATTTTATACAGCCAAGCCAACCCATTGATGATTCATGCAGTACCCAATATAATATTTCATCCCCCAAACTGTTTTCTTCTGATCTTCTCACCTTCTCCATTGCTTGTCAGTATTTTTTTTTTTTTTTAATTGAATT